TTATCTCTAGATGGTTAATCACGCATTCAATTTAATCCTAAATTTAAATACCACAGATCATATATTCATAATATAAAGCAGTAAACAAACAACGGTATGATCATGGAGAAATCCAACTGGGAAAAACTCATGGCTCTTTACCAGTCAATCCACTATAAATGAATTTAAGAACTTACAGTCTACTAGACTAGATGACCTGTACTATCTGATCACTCGACTGCACTCATTACAGCTCTCTGTGGATCCCGTGCTCTCCTACACCAATCCTTAGCTGCTGTTGCCAAAGTTCTCTGTGGAATCTGCTACCATGTAGTACTCCAAGTCTTGTGAATTCATTTATCTTCCGTTGATCACGAAGAATGACCCATTCTTCACCGACACAAACTCCTGTCAACTTCCTTCGATCTTCAAAACTCTGATCAGATGAAAAGAAAGTAGTGATTTGGTATTTGGATTATAGAATTGATGTTTTTCTCACTAAAACACTTACAGATGAAGGTTGAAAGAATCAAATATGAAGGAATCACTTTGCAATCTTTTTCTCTCTATGTTCAGCCTCATAAAATTCGTACAGAAGTGTTTTGGTATTTATAGGTAGGTCAATAAATGAATGGGCCAAGTAAAAAGCCTTGAAGTAGCGAAATAAAAATTTCTCGGATAGCACTGTCACTCGAGTGAGGGCCAAACGACAGTCGAGCGATAGAGCAAAAGAGGGGCGATGGTCTAGCGATGATGTTTCTACTTTTGTAGTTTGAGCCAACCTTTGGCGACAGTCCAGCGAAAATTCGTGCCATTTTCCTCATTGTTCCAAATTCGAAACCCTAGACCTACTAACTAACTTTAGAACACATTGCACATTACTCCTTAAACTTTTACATCCTATCAAATTAAGTCATTTTGTCCACAGAATTTGTCAATTACAAAATCAGCTAAAACCTAATAAGTTTCAATTACATTACTCCCATCTTAATCTTGATTTCCATTTCATTCTCTTTTTACTGTAATAGATCAAAATTTTAGTCTGAATCTTGGATTATACATAAATATCACCGTCATGGCAGATGGTGGTGGTGGATTATACATAAAGATCACCGTCTATGCTTGAAAACAAAAAAATTCAAAAAAGATGCGTTAAGGGCCAAGGAGAAGGAATTCTTGACAAGAAAAGAATGTATAAAGAAGAAGACAATGGAATTATCTGTTTTGTGTGATGTCAAGGCTTACATTGTGATATTAAGCCCTGACAGACAGATCGAAACGTGGCCTGAGAATCACAGCGACGTAAGGGAAGTGATAGACTTGAACAAAAATGACTATCTAAATAATAAGAAGCGAAATCAACAACATGATGATGATGGTTGTAAGAAGAAGTGGGTTTTGGGAGGTGATAAATGGGCCCTTGAAGATTTCCTAAAAAAGGTTAAGACCAAAATAGATCGAGTCAAGAAACGGATTCAGGTGGTCAAGTCCAAAGATCAAGAAACAAATTCAGGTATTTTCCTGATTATTTTCTTGTTGTGACTCGAACAGTCCTTTTTATTCATGCTTCATTATGTTCTTCCTGGAATTCATATACTGGTTGTTTGTGTATTTGTTCATGGATAGATGTGGCTTGTTGTTTGAATTAATTTTTAATCACGACAACAAACTCTATTGATCTCTAGTTATGGATAATGATGATTATTTAATTTACCGAGTGGTGAATGTTCATCAAAAATTTTATGAGAATATGTGGTTTTAAAGATTTTGTTTATATCCATCGATCACATGCATCTACGAACACATGATGCACCGATAGAAATAGTATTATTTTGATCTTTAGCAAAATTGCATCCATTTTCTTGCAAAGGTAAGCATATTTACATAAAATCTTGATTCACACATATGACTTTTGTAGGGTATTCCTTTGTTAAATATGTTACTTTAGAAGAAGCTATTGAACTCGGTTATTCGTTCTCCTATCTAGCATCTGAGGTTGGCAACCCGTTGAGTGGCGGCATTCTCCGAATGCCTGACCTCCAAAAAGTTCACAAAATCTGGGCTCACACTAGTGTACGTTGAGGATAAACAAGCTAAAAGAGTTTGAAAAGATTTTAATGTGCATAAGTCGTTAAGTCCAAATTATAATTGGCAATTTCTTAATTTGTAATTGAAAATTTCCTTAATCAAAATCATGTCATAATTGAATTGTATTTAAAGTTTATCAAATTGTAATCAAAGTCAAAATACTAGTTATTGAGCCCTAATTATAGCAAAAGAATTGAAATTGGTAGTATAGATCTTGAAGAAGTCCAAGATGTCCAAGAAGATCACATATGATTATTGGAATGCAATTAGAAGTTTAAAGAATGTCAAAGAGTCGCACGAGTTATGCTCCAAATTCTCAGTCGCAACTTTCAATGCATTTTTTACTTAGAAAATTTGCAAATTTGGAGAATGCTATTCTAGAAGAATTGTAGCCATTAAGTTATTTTTCCAACAAATTTTGAATCACCTCAATTGGACATTTAAAAAAAAAAAGTTGTAATGAAAATACTGACAATTGCTCAACTGTCACTCGCCTGCGTGGTGTGGCGTTCGATTGTCAAATTGATTTTGAGTTTCTTTTCATCCCAACACTACCCATTATAAATATAAATCCTATGGTACGTTTAAAAGCACGTTAAATCATATTTTTCGATAGAAATTATTCATTTGAAGATATAAAAACATTCATTGATTCCAAAATTCAACCACCACATTATTTGAGCCACATAGTCATTTAAAATTTGATTGCTAATCAAGCCATATTATTTCACATTAAAGCACTAATCAAAACATAAAAAGATCGTTTGATCATTTACTAACCTGAAAAACAAGGAGTTCTTCATTTAATCCACAGGAGATAGATCGGTACTAGGGATCGAGAGCTATTGTAGAAGCATAAGTTCAAGAGGATTAAGGCGAGGTACCAGAAGTTGGGATCTGGCTTCAAGAGCATGCAGTCAATTCAGGGGCTAAGGTATAAACCAGTAATCGAGATTTGTTTTGAAGGAACACACATCCAGTAAAATCAAAGGAAACTGTAGGAATTAAGGTCATAAATTCTACAGGGTATAGTCATATCAAAACGGGCCCGACCCACAGACTGAAAAGCTCGGGCACAGCCCGCTCGAACAAAACTCGACCCAGACGGGATTTTCGACCCGGCCCGGACCGGAAGCCCGCATGGGCCGATTTTTTGTTCCGGCGGTTCGGTCCGCTCGATTTTTTTTTTCAAAAATAAATGGTAAAAATTACATTTTATTATTAGAGTGAAAATCGATAAAAGTTATATAAAAATAAATTTTACATTGATTTAAATTCAATAAATCTTACATCAATAACATAAAAACTTACAATTTTTCGAACAATATTTTGCNACAATTTATAACAAAAAAAATATTAACGTTAACTATGCCAAAAAAAAATTTTTTAAAAATAGTCAGAATGGTCAAATGACTATTCTGACGCAGCTATAGGCTGCAGGCTACAGCAGCACCTGCATTATAATTTTTTTATTTTATTTTAAAATCCGGGCCACCGGTGGCCCAGACCGGTTTCAGGTCGGGGCAGCCCTTGATTCGGCCCGCATGGTTCATGGGCCAAATTGCGGGCCGGTTCGCCTCCGGGTAGGCTAGGGCGGCCCACCCATCTTGACATCTCTAACAGGGTAGACGAGTCTGGATCGCACTTTAAGTTTGCTTCGATTTATAGTGGGTTACTGACTAGCAAAGTGTCCAGAGTTTTTACTTAGTTGGGATTTCTCCGTGATCAATTTGGTATTCTTTATTGCTTTCATATTACAAATTGTTTCAACTAGAATAAATTGACATAATTGATTAACCATTTAGAAACAATTTAAAAGTGATTTATTGCTTTTAATTGTGTAACTCTGCATGTCAAGTCTAAATAAATCGGCTAATATGAAACTTTCAATAAGGATACGTTGAGGCTTGAAGTTGATAGGATGAACTGTGACCATCACTTGGTTTCTTTTCTTTTTGTTGCTATGTTTGACGAAAGGTAAATTTTTCTTTATTTACAAAATTCTACTTGTCTGAAGCATCTTATTGTGTTTATTTATATATTATTGCTATATCACGGTCTTTTCTATCAAGTGTGAATTCGATAAGTTGTGAAATATGCTTGATTTGATGAATTTTAGTGATATACGAGATGGGATAGGATAATGTGGCATACTTTATTAAAAGAGGTTTGCTATTAAAGAAAATGGGTAAATTGAAAGTGACAAAAGAGATCTATTTTGCTTAAAAAGAAGATATCTTTTCTTAGGGTCTCATAGTATTGGATTCGCAAAGAATATGAGGAATTTAAACTTTCAGGAATTTTGACTTGAATTATGCTAAGTGTATACTTTTGTTGACATTGTGTAGGAATTCAAAACGTGTACGCGGGAAATTGCGTTTTTCTTAAAACTGTCAATCATGTGCCAACACGTGGCACAACGTCAAAAATGATGTCAAATAAGGTGTACAAGTAGCATGATTGTTTCGACTTTGCTTTTCAAGCCATTAGAATTACATTTTTCGAATATAACGTGTACGTTTGATACTGAAAGTTACTAGTTCGGTCCTAAAATCACCTAGAGGGGGTTGAAGAGATGAATAACGTCAATTAAAAGTAACAATTCACTTTTAAATTGTTCTAAATGTTTAGTCAATCCATTAAATTTTATCATATGTTGAATTGCCACAATAATAAATAAATAAAACAAGATTTATCGATGGAGAAAATCCTTTAAATTTGAAAACTCCAGGACCAAATCAGTAACTTCCATTATAGACAATAAGGACTTATAGTATGATCCAACTTAGAAAACTCACTAAACTCGTTGATCTAATTCCTATAATCTCCAAAATCCATTGGAACGTATTTCACTACACCTGTTACTGATCTTCTAGAATTTTCTATCTTAGATGGTTGTGTATTACCAAGAACACCTTGTTCTTGTACTATTCTTGTACTTCTGTTCAAACATCTCTCAATCTTCAACAATCTCTGGAAGCTATTGAGAAAATACCTTCCTGATTAAATTTAAGAAGTATGTTATGGATTATTTGGATTTGATGTTTTTCCTAACATGTGGTTTATTTATCTCAAGAATCAAAGATTTAATCTCAATGTTTTGATATGTTCTTAGATCTTTGAATGATGTTATGAGGATGTATTATAATAATCAACCACTAACAAAAGTGTAATGGACATTGGACATTTATAATATGAGGTATTGGGCAGTATATAATAGATAAAATTCTTGAAAATCGCTAACTAGGGTTTCACATATAATAGCGTCGCTCAAGTTCTAGGCTAGTCACAGGTGAGCGACGGGTAGGCGACAATATTTCTGCTTTGAACGCTTGAGCAACAGCTTGGTAGCACGCTAGCATAAATCCAGCGACTCTTTCTCCATATTCCATACTCGAACCCAAAGAGTCATAGTTTATCTATACAATTACGGATTTGATGTTTAACTTAATGGTATATTGTTACATTCAATGAACTAGCGGGCCCTTTAACAATAAACACAACAAATCATAGAAATAAATGTAGAAAAATATTCAATACGTAAAATATAAATCGAACAATAAGAAAAACTATTTAGATATCACAATATGTGGTTCTGAGGCTTCTGTTTTCTTCGACTAAGTGTAAAAGTTTAGTTACAATTCATGAATTTAAGAGAGAAATAATGAAAAGTAGAGTTTGGAGGCGTTCTCTACGTTCTTGGTCGAGTTTGGTATTTAAAGGATGCCAAAAAAATTGCATTGGATTGTTATTAAAACAAAAATAAGGAAAATTGGATCTTTCCCCTTTTAGCCTTGAGGCATACGCCTAGTGCAACCTAGGACGCACGCCTTGGGGGGTTTGGAAGCCTCAGGCGAGGCATTTTTGGTCTGAGGTGCTCGCCTTTTCTGCAGGCGAGGGCGCTCGCCTCACCTAATTTCTGGCAGCTGAACAGCTCTCAATATATTTGATCTAAATTTCTCTCCCGATATCCGATTGAGGAGATTCAAGACGTGTTGGAAAGATAATTCAATGGGCTACAACTTGGTTCAGATATAATCTTCCAATTTGATCAATTTCCATGTCAAACAAGGTCTCAATATGAAGCTGAAAACTGGTGCAAAACTTTTTCGATTGGAAATTGATGTGTGATCATACTTTGACGATATTTCATCCCTTTGACGTCTTCTTTCAATCAATTGACTCTCAAATCTTCATTTTTTGGTTCGACACAACTTTTGTATCTTTGCAAA